TTCTATTACAGGCTGACTATCCCTAACCCAAAAACTCGAAATCCAAATGCTCCAAAACATGCTACTTTGAGCACCAACATGACGCTCAAAGGAAACACTCACTAGAATGACTGGTAAGTAAATCTGAAAAATTCTGAAATCTGAAACATTTCTGATTCTAAGCATTTGAAATAAGAAATATTCAACCTGTACTTTCAAACTGGGTTCTGTGAGTGGGCCCAAGAGTTTAATTTCAGTTTAGCGTTTTTTTGGGAAACCTAGGCTGCATGAAAAGCATTCTCTTCTTTACTTAAATGGTTCTAGTAAAACAAAAAAAAAATATATCACCAAAATCTCTTCCAACTTTAAGATCCTATGAAATGCTAAAGATATCATATTTACACCACTTGAATAAAGTTTATGTACTGCTTATCAAATAAGAGATTCTAAATTAGTATTGATCTATTTGTTTTAATATTTACATTTTTTTAAAGATAGGAAATATTACAATTTTTAAGAACTCTAATCACAGCCAAGCATGATGGCATGTGCCTGTAATCACAGCTACTTGAGTGGCTGAGGCGGGAGCATCGCTTGATCCCAGGAGTTCAACTCAAGTCTGGGAAACAGAGAAACTGGCTCTCTAAAAAAAAGGGTTTTTTAAATAAAATAAAATAAACAGCTTTAGTTACAGGCTGTTAAGCCAATTTTCTGTTCCTTACAAACAATGCTGCGGTAACATTAATGTGAAACTCTGGTTTCACATTCTACCACTCTGAGAAGTGGTAGAATTTTGGATATACCCTGAGGGTACTGCTTGCTCAACAACCAACAACGGCTGCAGAGTGTGAAAAATAGAGAAGTAAAGGACGACTCTCAGAGCTGCCATTAACTGTTGGGGGAAAGACCATAAGAGGAACAGTTCTGAAATGTCAGAGTGAGACGCCTATGAGACATCCCAGTGGAAATGTCCAGAAGACAGTCATCAGCATACACACAATGAGCCATAAGACCAGATGAGATCACCAAGGGAGTGAGTGTATAAAAGGAAGAGGTCCAAGGGCTGAGTCCTGGAGCATTCCAAGGTTAGAAGGTAAGAAGTCCGGGCAGATTGCTCGAGGTCAGGAGTTCGAAACCAGCCTGAGCAAGAGTGAGACCCGTCTCTACTATAAATAGAAAGAAATTCACTGGCCAAGTAATATATAAAGAAAAAATTAGCCGGGCATGGTGGCACATGCCTGTAGTCCCAGCTACTTGGGAGGCTGAGGCAGCAGGATTGCTTGAGTCCAGGAGTCTGAAGTTGCTGTGAGCTAGGCTGACGCCACCGCACTCACTCTAGCCTGGGCAACAAAGCAAGACCCTGTCTCAAAAAAAAAAAAAAAAAGAAAGAAAAGAAAAGAAAAGAAAACAGATAATTCCTCACATTGCAAACTTTATCATAAAGAAGGAGAAGGTTAAAAATTGTATGCTATGTATTAAAAATGTCAAGGATAGGCAGGGCACAGAGGCTCATGCCTGTAATCCTAGAACTCTTGGAGGGTGAGGTGGGAGGATTGCTTGAGGTCAGGAATTCGAGATCAGCCTGAGCAAGAACCAGACCTCATCTCTATCAAAAATGGAAAAAATTAGCTGAGTATGGTGGCATATGCTTGTAGTCCCAGCTACTTTGGAGGCTGAGGCAGAAAGATTGCTAGAGCCCAGGAGTTTGAGGTTGATGACACCACTATACTCTAGCCGGGGCAACTGAGCTAGACTCTGTCTCCAAAAAAAATGGTCAAGGACAGAGTTTCTTTTTGTTTGTTTGTTTGTTTTTAAGGATAGCTTCAATGAGAAGAATAATCAAAATAAAAATCAGAGAATTACCAAAGAGAATAACCACTGGGTGTCTTTAGCAATCACCCAAACAAAACCACAACATTAAAAATTCAAACCAGAGAGGAGAGGGGAGGAGGGAAGGGGAATAAACCAACCTAATGGGTACAATGAACACTATTTGGGTGACACTCATAGCCAGGACCTCAAGCATTACAAAAAACAATCCATGTAACCTGAAACATTTGTACCCTCTTAATACTTTGAAATTTAAAAAAAAGAAAAAGAAAAACTCAAACCATATTCAGTGCCAATTCCTAAAGCCCAAATAGATTCTATAAATAAAAAATAAGAACATATATATTTCTCTACTGTTTACTCTTTGCTGTGTTTAATAACTTTAATCTACCTAGCAGCTGGTTCTATGACTAAACAGATAAATGACATTTCTCACATCACAATTAAACACTATTCTAAAATAATGGAACATACACAAAATAGAACTACAGAAGTTATAAAAGGCAGAAAAGAACAAAAATAAGCAATTAAAAAAAAATCAGCTACTCAGGAAGCTAAGGTAGGACGATTGTTTGAACCCAGGAATTCAAGACCAGTCTGGCTGATGCCACGGCACTCTAGCCCGGGCAACAGAGTAAGACTCTGTCTCAAAAAAAAAAAAAAAAGACCAGCCTGGGCAACATCGTGGACAACACCTCAAAAAAACAAAAATAAACAAACAGTCATGAAAGGACCCTAGAGAGCACACATTTTTAAGGCTTATTTCAATTATTATGAAGCCTCAAATTTTCATAATCCTGAAACAAATATCATTTAAGTTTTTAAAATAACCTATTTTTTCCATTTGATAGTAATATGGTAATATATATATATCTAAATATAGAGCTATAAAATATATTTTATTATATTAAGAAAAAAGCATAAGCTTACTGGAGCAAATTTAGAATATAAGAAAAGAAATTCTATCACCCAGAGGAAACTACTGCTTAAACCATTTAAAAACATGGCTTTCAGAAAGGACTGTCATCAAATGCTAAGAACTGGGGGTAAGAGAAAACCCAACTTGTCAAACCAGTTAAGTGAATAGTCAAGCTCTAAAGTTTTACCTTTAGAGTTAGGAAGTGACATTTCATCCACAGGAATAAAAGTATATTTGCCTTATAGGTGGGGCTGGCTCAAGAGTCACAAATATCACACATGTAATAAACATTTATTTTCCCATAGGTATTCAATAAAATTATTTTCAACTAGAAAAGCAGGTTTTAGCTTGACCTGCAGAGACAAATATTCGAACTAAACAGTGTAGATTAATGAGTGCTACTGGACAAGTAACATAAAGAAATCTGGCATGAGGGAACCACCACCCATTGTCCTAACACATGGGCACCTAGTTTCACAAATAGACTGCATTGTAACAGAATGTCCACTTTCCACTAGGCACTCTAGCAGCTCCTAATTCTCTTAAGGTGCTACATATTCACAGAATCTGATGCGCTGCTCAGTTCACAAAGTAATAAAGATTATGTAATGACAAGCCTCTTCACAATGCTGCCTTACTGTGTTTTGCTTGAGTTTCATATACATAATAAAGTAGAGCTCTGCTTCAGAGATGTCAAACATAAGCAACTATCCTACTAGTAAATGCAATTTGGCAATTTATGAAAAGCCTTAATATATGTGAAGGAAAACAGAATATGTCACTCTAAAATATGCCTTTGATATAAAAATTATGGTTGAGCTGAAGGCAACTAAGACGCAGCAAACAGAAGAAAATCTCTCTCTATCCCTTCTTTTCTGCCTAAAGCCAGGAAATAACTTCTCCTTCACTGGAGACAGCTCTACAGACTCTTATCAGCCTAGAGACAGCACCAGAGGAATCTGTAAACAAACCTTACTCCATTAGTTTCCTCCTTTCCCACGGTTTCCCATTCTTGGAAGCCTAAAACTCTTTCCTTTGTCCTGCCATTTTCCCACAAACGTATCATTCTTTGTTGAAGACTCTATGTAAGCCAGAATTCTAAGCCATTGCTTTGAATTACTTTCATTGAGGTTTCTTCCACTTGATGTGTGCTGCATGCATTAATAAACTTGTTTGTTTTTCTCTTGATAATCTGTCTTTTGTTATATGAGTCCCAACTAAGAACTCTGAGGGGTTAAGGAAAAAATATTTTTCCTCTTCAACAACTGCATACAAAGAATGTTTAAGTATTGTTTATAATAGCAAAAAGTATATCAACAACCTAAGATTCCAACAAAAGGAACTCATTTAAACACTGGTACATCCCCACAATGGATTACTGTTTAATCCATAAATACTTTAAGATAAATATATACTGGTATATTCATAATGCAGTAGTGAAAAACAACACACACAAAATGACCCCCATTTCTGTAAGAGTATATGAAATCTAACTGCGCTAGGCTTCACCATCCTGTGAATGTCACACTTTCCTTCCTACGGTTTCATGGCACAAGACTGGATTGGCTTAAATGCTAGCTTATTGGTTCCATTCAAAGTATTCCTCAAGTTATTTCTGAGTGTCCCGAAGAAAAAAGATGTGCCACATAATAGCCACCAAGTCTGTCAACTACATTTATCATGCAGGATCCATCTTTCTGCTTTGATTCTTACTGTACCCTCACCACTGCCCATAGTGTCATGTGGAGAAACTTCCTCACTGTCCACTCCCTGGTAGACATGCTAATGTCAGAGCCAAAGGAATGACCCCACAGGCGCCTAAAGCTTCCAAAACTGGGAAAGAATGGCCTCCTCTCACTCAGAAGTTCCCAAGTCTGTCAACATATGCAAACAGATGCTAAGGAAAGGGTAAGTGGTTTCTAGTGCCACCAGCCCAAAGTACCCTGTTATATGCCTATTTGCCAAGAAAAAGGAGAATATACACAAATTTGTCAACAGTGGTTATCTTTAAGCATTCTGTACTTTTTTCGTTTTCTTTATTCCTTATTTGTGATGTTAAAATTTGCTTCAATGAACAGGGTTTGTTTTTGAGGTAGGAAAAAAAACCCAATTTTTGAAGTTAAGAAACAAAATATTTAAGTAGCAAATATATTACTGAGAAACATTTCCTTAAAAAGCAAACTGTAAAAATAATTTCTGACAAATATTCACAATCATTTGGCCTTTAATCTGTCCCCAGTGCCAACCACCCTTCTGGCCCAATGGCACTTACATTCCTGAAGACATTCTGTGTCCGTGCAGTAGGACTGGGACTGCCGCAGCTACAAGGAACGAGAAGAAAGAAAGTTAGCCATTAGATTTAACCAAAAGTGGACAATAATTATTAGAAAGGTCATGTTTTATTTTTAATAAGTGCTACCACATTATATATTGTACCTTCCAAATCTGATACAAACACAGAATACACTGAGGGACTGTCTACTTTTTTTTTTTTCTTTTTTAATTTTTATTTTGTTCTTTTTCTCAGACTTGTGATTCTCTTTGGAAATCAATGTCTACTTTTTTTCTACTCAAAATAGTTTTCAAATACAATGTGATCTGGTATAATTCACCTGTTTAAGGAATAAAAAAAAAAAATCACCTATGACAGAAACTCCTGCTACCATATGTAATTAGGCTTCCCAAAGGAAAAGTGCTAAACTTCAGAGAACTAACTGGAAAAAGAGTAAACTCCTTTGTTAATGAGATTTTTCTTCTCATTGAAAATTAGAAGCAGATAGAGAAAAAACAGATTCTATTTGTAAAAAAAAATGCACCTTTCAAAAGAAGAAATAGAATTTTTTCTTGTATCTGCGTAAGCAAACAGTAATTGGATAAATAAGAAACAAATAAAAGGAGTTACCACACGGGGTGGTGGTGGGATAGAAAAGTAGAGAGACTGTGACTGAGATGAGAGCTAAATTTTTCAATGTTGTATTTTCATATAATCTGATTTTTGAATCATGTGATTATCAATTTTAAGACAAAATAAAAAAATTTTAAAAAGCCCATCTTATCAGCAACACAGGTCATTTACACATGTCATTTTTTTTCATAGAAACAGGGTCTTGATATGTTACTCAGGCTGGTCTCAAACTCCTGGCCTCAAGCAATCATCCTGCCTTGGTCTCCCAAAGTATTGGGATTATGGGCATGAGCCACAACGTCTGGCCTAGGTCACCCTTTTAGAAATGTACAACCAATGCTGAGGCCTTTTAGGATGTTTAGAAATGAAAATCTCATAAATCACAAAAGAGTAATAACTAATAAGTGAGAGGCATACAACTTTTCAATTCAGTCTCATTACTCATTACATCTTCTCTCTATGACTTGCAATTGTTTGGGAAAGCAACTGCAGAGCAGGTGTGCTTAGCTGGTTCAGCATGGGCTCTCCAGAAAGACAAGCCTAGATTTAAAGTCTGACTTTCTAGAATTTCAACACCTCCAATCTTTAGTTTCCTTACCTGGTAAAATGGGGATATAACATTACCTATATCTCAGAGTACTAGTGAGAATTAAAATGAATAATACATGTGAAATATAGTTAACAACCCAAGACATGTTAGCTTTTATTACTGTGCCACACATATTATGGCCTCATCTAAACAATTATTGGAATTAACTATACAAATCATTTTATAATTATTCTCTAATTACGTTTATTCTGGTATATACCACTAAAAGTAATTCTATTTGAACTAGAAGAGAAAACAGACCTTAATGTAAAAGTATGTTGTGTATCTCAACCCTAAATATGAAAGGAATCAACCCAAAAACTCTTACTAAAATTGTACACTCTAAAGAAATTTTTAAAAAGACTATTATGCCCTTAAGTCACAAAACAGACCCAACAAACCCCAATAAACCTCTCAATTTGTTTGCATGATTTTAAGTTTTATGTTTTCCCAATAAGTAATATGTGTACACAGTACAAAATCTAAAAGTACAAAAGGATATTCTGTGCAAGGTAAATCTCCCATTCTTTCTTTCAGCCTCCCCGGCACTCAGTTTTTTTGTGATTTTTCGGAGATGGCCTTACATTTTCACAAATATATATATATATATATGTATTTTCCTCATTTCTCTCCCACTTCCAAGTAGTATTGTAGAGAAAGTAAAACAAAGAGATCCATTAGGTTAAAAGGTCTGGGGAACAAATAAGAACTATTTAATCACTTAGATAGCAAATAGCGAGTAAAAATAATTTTCCTACTGAATTGATTATCCTGGGTTTATTCTTTAGCAATGATATAGCAGATTTCTAAATTTATAGATGAAATGTAAATGATCAAACAATTATCAGCTCTTTGTATCAAGTGTACCCTTGTCTTGAGGTCTGACTTGCTGCCTGGCTGTAGCTCAATGATATTTATGAATAACATGATTTCCACATGAAAAGCCCCCCAATTTTTATATATCCATTTCCTTACACATCTCCTTCCAATGCACTGCCCCATCACCAGCCCAGGCTCCTTCCCCATGCTTCCATTAGTCCCATGCTTCTTTCCTGGATCCTCCTTTGTGAATATCCAGGTCTGGGTTTCACCCCATACCCTTGTAGTCAGTGGGTTTGTGGTCTACACCAGGGGTCACCAAACTACAGCCTATAAGCTAGAGGCTTGTTTTCATAAATAAAGTTTTACTGAAACACAGCCACACTCATTTGTTTACATATTGTCTATGTGGCTTCCACTACCACAGCAGAGTATTGAGCAGTTGCCACAAAGACCCCAAGCCTACAATATTTACTATTTGGCCCTTAAATCGGTGAACACTGCTAATAATGTTGCTCCGTTAAAATTACAGAGGAATTACCCATGAGGTGAGACAAAAATATTTTTGTCTAGGCATAAAAAAAAATGATCATTTAGAAATATGTGAGATGCGTATTATGTTTAGTTATAATATAACAATCATTTATTCACTTACTCATTCAAAATATTTACTGAGGCCGGGCGCGGTGGCTCACGCCTGTAATCCTAGCTCTCTGGGAGGCCGAGGCGGGCGGATTGCTCGAGGTCAGGAGTTCGAAACCAGCCTGAGCAAATACGAGACCACGTCTCTACTACAAATAGAAAGAAATTAATTGGCCAACTAATATATATATAGAAAAAAAAAATTAGCCAGGCATGGTGGCACATGCCTGTAGTCTCAGCTACTCGGGAGGCTGAGGCAGAAGGATTGCTTGAGCCCAGGAGTGTGAGGTTGCTGTGAGCCAGGCTGACGCCACGGCACTCACTCTAGCCTGGGCAACAAAGTGAGACTCTGTCTCAAAAAAAATGTCAGAAAGACATGCAGAGAACCAAAACAGGATAGCATGACAGAGGGCAGCTGAGCAGCCACTTTAAATCCGGCAGTCAGAGGCAGTGACACCTAAGGGCTATTCACACCACAACAGAGCACTCGGAGAGCGAGGAAAGGCCCTTAAGGGAAAGCTGTCTGTGAGCTAGTGCTGAGGGACCAAAAGGCCACTGGCTGGGCCACTTAGCTGCTGTACTTAGTCAGCCTCAGAACCAAATACATTCTGTGTAAAATGCTCAAAACTCATCCCAGCTTGCTGTTAATGTCATCTGTCTAACTGCCTCCCACTCTAAGACATACCAATATACAACAGATACCTGTATGTTTTATCACTGTGGAATAGGAATACTTTTTCATCGTATAATATTTGAGATTTATTTTAACACAAATGTTAAAATTTACATATTACTTTTTACTTTATACCAAATAATTCATAATTTGTTATAAATTATATAACAAAATGACAGTACAGAATGCTTAGAAATTAATGTAGATTTACTTAGTATCCTAATATAGTTATCTTTGTTACATATTCTTTTCTAGTCTTAAAATATGCATATTTTCACACAATTGCAATTATTGTAACAAATACTTATTAGGAACTTGCTATGTGCTAGATACTGTACTAAGAACTTTAGCTCATTATCTTATATAATCCTCCTCACAACCATTGCAGGAGAGAGGTACTATTATTACTTTGCCAATGAAGAAACTGAATTTTGAGGAGGTTTAGCTAACTTAAATCCAGCACTAACTCCAAAATCTAAATTCTTAACCATAATTCCATTCTATTTTACAATGAAAAAAGTTTTATATCATAATTTTAGAGATCACTAGCATAAAACATTCTCTAACCACAATTACAAGTTACAAAATATTCTAGTGAGTTGGTGGGGTGCTGTGGCTCATCCCTATAATCCTAGCACCTTGGGAGGCAAGGCCAAAGGACTGCTTGAGGCCAAGAGTTTAAGACCAGCCTGAGCAATATAGAGAGACGCCTTTTCTACAAAAAAATAAGAAAAATTAGCTGTGAATGCTGGTACATGACTGTAGTCCCAGCTACTCAAGAGGCTGAGGCAGGGGGATCACTTGAGCCCAGGAATTCGAGGCTATATTGAGCTATGATCCTGCCACCGCATCTACTCTGGGCAACAGAGAGAGACCTTGTCCTCCCCCCAAAAAAAAAATCCAGTGAGTTGATGTACAGTAGAATTGAAGTGAAACAAATTGAGAGTAATGTGAAAATAACCATAGGTATACAGTTACTCAGTAGTTTTCTAAGACCAACAGGACTAGTGTTTTGTTCCCCGCCCCCCAGCACTAAAAGAGATTGCTCTTTAAATGTCACCAGGAAGAGTATGTTTCCCTTTGGGACTATGCTAAAAAACCGTAATGTACAATTTCTACTGCGACATAAATTTCTATAAAACCAATTAACTCATACAAATTGGTTAACAGAAAAATTATGTCACTTTAATGTGGAAGCTGTGTTGGTTCATAAGTGATTTTTCCCAGTTAAGGGGAGCCTGAAAAGTGGAAATCAAATTATGACTTTCAACAGGAATGGATATATACACTCTCAGTTCACTGCTGGGCAGGCAGGAGCACTTTCAGCTTTAAGAAAATGAAAAATGAGTCCTATATGCGTGCGCTCACACACAGGACCAAGAATGAAAGAAATGATTCAGTAGGAGCCTGGCTAAGTGAAACAACTTCATCTTAGACCAAGCTACAGCGAGTGTTGGGGCAATCTTGCCAAGAGCTAGTGTTGGATACTGTTCTTCGATGGGTTCCTGGCTACATTCTTCCTGTTTGAAAACAGGCTATGTTGTAGGAGGCTCTGAAAAATGAAATGCTCAAGTATCATGACCACATTCCAAGTCTAGCAGTTACGGTTTTTTTCCCAAAGCAGAGATGCTAGAATGTATATTCAATATGTTGGATGCAAACACCTATGATGGATAAATTATAGTCTTTTAAA